CCAGCAGCAGCAGGTCTGACCCAGCAGGTCTGACCCAGCAGGTCTGACCCAGCAGCCGCAGGTTTGACCCAGCAGCCACTTGTTGAGTCGAACAGTTTGGATGAGACCAGGTCAAGTTTTCCTGCGTTGATGATTAAAGTTGGACCTCATTTAGAAGAACTCATTATTTGTAATAAATCCACCTGCTGAAGGTTCACGGCTCCTTTTCTTCCAGGAGTCCGAGCAGGAGACGCACCTCCTCACTCTGGTATCCTCCTCCTGACTCCCCTCTGTTGTTTAGCGTGACTAACAGCACCGAGACCGAAGTGTGTTTGTTGCATCATGCACGGCAGGTTGAGCAAAGCATGCTGGGACGGCTTGCACAAGGCCCGATGGATCGTTTCAGTGCACGTGTTTGTCTTCCTTGGCTCAAGTGTTTTAGTTTGTGGATAAAAAAATTCATCTGAACATGGAGTAGAATCGGAGCAGAACGTTCAGGACCAAACATCGGGTCAGTCTGACGTAAGAGCGAGGACTAAACGTTGGTTTCAGATCCAGTTTGAACGTCGATCAATTGAACTGAAACAGAATCTACGGTCGATCTGGACGAGTCAGTGGACGCCTCTTACCGTGTCACTTCCTGTCACAGGAGCCCTGCGGTCCAAAACCACAAACTAAATTTCTGTTCTGTCGGTCTGGACATGTCAAGGGATATTTGGGTTTCTCGTTGTTTTTTTTCAATAGATTTTACCATGAGTAGTCTTGTCGCGATAAACAATTAATCAATTAATCGCATGATAAATTAAAATGATCAACCTCATTTTCATTTATTGACTTTATCGTTTCTTCATGTCTCTCTTTCTACTGAAGACACTGGACGACAAAAGGATCAACTCGGGTTCTTCACTGACCCCGCCCTTTCTCTTTTCTCTTTAAAATCTGTTTTAACGATCCAAATCATGTTTTTGGATCGTTAAAAGCAGCTAAGCTACGAGCTAAGCTAACAGGCCGACATCAGGGAAAAAACCTCCGTCTCGTCGAAGCTCCAAAATTCACGGTTGAAACTCGTGCCTTCGTGTAAAAAGTTGTTTTTCTCTGCAAAAAGAAACTGAGAACTTGTTCACTGATTTTTTATTACAAGCTTTGTGTGAAAAATGTTAAAGAGCTCAAACTACACCGAGCGTCCGCCATTTTGAGAACCAAAAAAAAGGAGAGACAGCCCATGTCACGTCAAGAGGCCTCCCTCTAATTTTTCTTAAAGAGACACGCTGCTCACTCCCTCACTATCCATCCTTCTGTTCAAACTGTCTTATACTGACATCCAGTGGTGAAAAAAGTTACTACACTCAGAATTAAACAACATTTCTTCTTAAATTTGACCATTATTACTAATTGAAATGGTAAATGGACTGTATTTATACATATTTACTTTCTATCTGATCAAGACACTCAAAGCGCTCCAGACTACAATCTGTGTCCTCGTTTACTCATTCAAACAGCTCTCTACTAGACCTCTACTAGACCTCTACTAGACCTCTACTAGATCTCTACTAGATCCCTACTAGATCCCTACAAAGAATAATCAGAACTTGATCACGTTCATTGACTTGCCCAAGGACGTTTTGGCATGTGACTGCTGGTGGATTTGAACTCCCAACTCTTGCATTGGAGGACGACTGCTCTAACCACTGAGCCACAGCCGCCCACAATTGTCAAATTTCAAACAATATTATCGTTTATCGCAATAATTTCTGAGACAATTAATCGCCGAGCAGAATTTGTTATCGTGACAGGCCTGACCACGAGAGACAAAAGGTTGATTTTTTTTTTTAGATCAAAGCAAAAGAAACAAAAGTTCCTTTAAACTCTTTCGTCTCGAGACAAAAATGACTTTCTAAAGATCTCCAGAAATTGATTTGAACAGATCTCGTCCCTGAAGACAAGGCCTGTTCTTTTAAAGACTAAAGTTTTGAGTCAGTCCTGTCCGAGAATCAGTCGGATGAGACGAAGCTTCCTTTTTTGGAGATTTTGACATTTTCTTACGGAGCTCGTCTCATGAAAGACAAATTATTTTTTTCTGAACTTGTCATGAAACAAAAAAGTAAAATTTTTAATTCCCTATCGATTATTTTACTAGAAGAAAGTTAATTTCTGTATAAATCATACTAGGAGAACAAAACTGTTGTTTCATAAATTTAGTCAGAATTAACAAACGTTCCTGTCCATGGATCTGATGGAGTCGTACGTTCTCCAGAATCTCTCTCGGCCTTAAGGAAATAAATATGTTCTGCACCTTTAACGGATCTTATCAGTCGATTGTGTCCGCAGAAATATCGCTGGGTCCTGAAATCTCAAAACACCGGAGTCTTCGTCAGTAAAGCAGGTTGTTTTGTCTCTAACAGCCGTGGTCTTGAGTCTTGGTGTGTTTAGTTTGTCGTCCTGATTATCTGGTGGCCCAAATCAAGCGTCTAACTGGTCCGCTCCTGTTGGCTCTCTCCAGGCAACCATCATGTCAGGCTCCACCCTCAGCCTGAACCACGACCCCACCCCTCTGCGCAGCACACTCGGTCGTCAGGCGAGCTTCCAGGAACGCAGCAATTCCAAACCGCAGGTATAAAAACCACGTCTTGTTTTTTTTTGTTCTTCTGAGCTGGAGCTCCGGTTCTCCTGGAAGCATCTCTGCATTTTCCCATGGTGCATTGTGAAATTTCCCCAGGTCAACCCTCGCGCCAACACGTTGCCCTCGGACCCTCAGCGCCGAGCCTTTGCCATGAAAAAGATGAGGCAGGAAGTCAACGACATCTTAAACCAGAACCCTGTGGAACTCCATAAGGTGACAAGCGGTCCCTCGGAGCTGCGGTGCACTTTAACAGAAGTTTGACAGTAATTTACCGTTTTTGTTTGCAGCTCATTTTGGAGAAGGCCTCGGACCTGGAGGATTTTGGTTTCAGTGTTTCTGACGGTTTGTTGGATCGCGGCGTCTACGTTAATAACATCCGACCGGGCGGCCCGGCAGAGCGGGGCGGCCTGCGTGCCTATGACCGAATCCTGCAGGTACAGGAATCCACAACTGGCAGAACCTTTACAGCACCTTCGATTCTTTATCGTTCCGTCTCTAAACACGTTCTGTGTTCCAGATCAACCACGTTCGGACCAGGGACTTCGACTGCTGCCTCGTCGTTCCGCTCATCGCAGAGTCTCCAAATCGTTTGGAACTGGTCATCAGCCGAAACCCCTCCTCTTCCTCGTGCCCGCTGACCAATCACAACGAAGGCACCACCAACAGCCACTCCCATCAGCCAATCAACAGCGAGGTCGGGCCGTCAGAGATCTCCCTGGACCCGGTTGAAGATGGTGGTCCCATCAAGTGGAGCCAGCCAGGAGACAGCCTGCTGGCAGGGCTCGGCTCGGGGCAAGTCACTAATAACTCCTTATAGCAGACAGAAACCGGACCAAACTGGATTCAGTCTGGATCGGAGAGGTCAGTAAGGAGAACCGTGCAGCAGTTTTGGAGTCAAACTGGTTTAGAACTGTGTAAACTGGTTCAAAGTGGACCTCTCGTGGTGCTACACACCCTCTGGATGAACCTTTGACCTTTGAACTGCTAAAGCAGCCTGAAAGCACACCATTGGCCCGGAACTCTTCACATTTTCACCCAAACCAGTTCTAAACCGGTACAACTGGGGTCACCGGAGCCAGAATCACAACCACAGCTGGAGATACTGGTCCAGCTAGTCCAAGATGAAAAGTCTGCTGGTCCCACTGGCCTAGAGCCATGGCTGCTGGTTCTACTGAAGCCTCGACCTCAGCCAAGTGTACTGGTGGCGTGCAGACCTAAAACTGGGCCTTCTGGTCCCCCTGAAGGGACATGGATACTGGTTTTACTGTTCTGGGACAAGGGTTACTGGTTCTCTAAGCCTAGGGAACTAGTCTAGAAATACTACTAGTCTGGTGTGGTCCAGTGGTCTTACTGGTCAAAGACTCATGGGTTCTGGTCTTTGTATTCAACATTCAGCCATCTCCACTATAGTCAGAACTACACCAGTGGTCTTACATGGTCTAAACCAGTGGTTCCCAACCCTGGTCCCTGAGGAACACCATCCTGCATGTTTCAGTTGTTTCCTGCTCCAACGCACCTGATTCAGCCGGTTCATCACCCGTTCATTCAAATCAAGTGAAACATGCAGGACGGTGTTCCTCAGGGACCAGTGTTCGGAACCACTGGTCTCAACCACCATTCTAGTTCTCGGTCTCTATGTTACAGAACCACAGCTAATGGTCCCACTGGTCCGAGCTACAGGTCCTGACCTTTCTGGTTCTTGTTGTGGTCTTAGTGTAGATACTGAGGCGGACCAGAGCCTCCATGAGTCCAGAGTCGTGGCTTCTAGATCCAGAACTTGGGCTCTACTGGACAACAGCACAACCACTGATGGGATTCTAGTCCATGGTCCCTGAAAATGGACTGACGGGTTGCCAGGTAGACTAGGGATGCTCCAATCTGAGTGTCTGCAGCTGATTTTATTCAGATCACTGGAACCACGGCCGTCTCTTCTCCTGCCAATCAAAACTTTATTCATACAGCTCAGTCTCATTGAGTCACGAGGACTCCGTTTCAAGAGAGACCTCAGTCTTATGGTTTATATTCCGAGCCACTGGTCCAGAACTGGTCCACATTTTGCTGCTATTTATGACAAAAACCACTAGTTTGGATGTTAAACGTTAAAGACCCGCGGTGCAGTCGTTCCAAAACGAGTTGCTTTAGATTTAAAGTGAAAGTTTAATTAAAGTTACGTTTAATAAGCACTTTGTTTGCACGTTGCTGCGCCACGTAGAACCTGGAAGAAGGTGCAGGTCTGGACAGAACGAACGGTCCTGGTGGAGTGAATCTTCTGGACCACAAAGTTCTGTTTGGACTAATCCTGTCAGCAGAAACGAGCAAAGCTTTAAAAGCAACCCTCAGCTCTCTGCGTGTCGTTAAGTTTGGTCGTTTCATTCATTTTACCCAAAGGAAAGGAAAACTGCACAAACCTGCCGTTACCTTTAGTCGATTTATTGTTCAGAGGCTCCGAACCTTTCAGGTTCTGACCCACAGAGTGAGAGCAGCAGAAACGTGAGGACGTCACGACTAATGCGCCTAAAATCAAAGATACAGACACTGGAGCGACTGGTCTTTGTTTTTTAACAGCCTATAACACTAATGGAAAAATAATGTACAGTCAAATTTAAATTAATTTATTCATTTAACCTTTATTTACACAGGTAGTCTCATTGAGTCACGAGGACCCACCCCCACAAGAGACGTGTATTGGGCAGCTATGTGAGCGCCCGGGTGTGACCAGGATAAATGTTTTGGCGGCAGGAAGCTCGTTAGCGCATCCACAACAAATAATTCCATTAATTAGCCGCGGTGTTCAAAGTGTGTGAAAAAAGTAGCGGCTTATAGTTCGGAAAATACGATAACAATGATCTTTAACGAGCGAGTTTGGCAGCACTAGACGGGTTTCGTTATATTTGAGGTAGGATGTAAGTTAAAACTCAGAAGTTGTGGCTGTACTGCGACACACAGTGTGATATTTTGGAACTTTGTTACAAAATATTTCACTATATTTTTGAATCCTCCCTGAAATCACTAATAACGTCAGTGTTGTGCCGTAACACAGCAGTGACCCGTGGCTGTCAAACCCTCAAACCGTACAGGGATAAATGGGGGGGGAAGCTGCGCAGCGTTTGAAGCGCCTGGAAAAAGCTGAACTGGTGATTTAAATTAAGAAGTCTAAAAAAAATAGCCATAAAAATTAAAACTCTATCAAAGATACTAATTTTGATACCTGGAAATCTATTTATGTCGAGCCGTACATTCTTTATAGTTGGATCCGTAAAACAAGAAAAATATGCAGCGTTTTCTATCAAACATATTAAACGTGTAGGTGTATAAAATTTAAATATATATATATATAATTCCAAAACAGGACCTTCCTGATGGCTCAGACTTCACATTTGTCAGACAACGTTTGGTCATTTTATTTTGAAATGTTTGTTGACAAACATTTTGTTGGTTTTAAACGTGTTTTTTTACATCAAGCACACGGGGTGAGAGGAGAGTTGATAATATCAGAATAAAGCACTTAAAAGTTTCTAATCAATACGGTAACAATTAGCAGACGTTCTAACGAGAGGTCACATTAGAGCTTTGGCAACACATTAGACATTTAAGGGTTTTATTTTTTCAATCAGCTGATTCTGATCGGAGCATCCCTAATGAAACAGACACAAAGACGGAGGATTTAGTTTCAGTTTTGTGCCATAAACGAGCTGCTGGCTTTAACGATGACGATGATGAAGAGCAGTTCAATATGAATCTTTTTCTACAGTTTACAGTAGTCGGACTGGCCACACTGTGTACGTCTGTGTGCGTGTCTGTGTGTGTGCGTGTCTGTTAAGTGTGTGTGTTACACACAGGGCCAGTTAATTCAGCTCCCCGTCTTGGCTCCTCCCCCCCTGCCGTCCAACTTACATTTGACCAATCGGCATCGAGTAGGACTGACGGCTACGCTGCTGCTGATTGGCTGGAACCAATCAGAAAACAGTTCCCCCTGCCCGTCTGTGATTGGTTAGCGTTGAGGAAGAGCCAATCAGCTCCTAGAAAAGAGGCCAAGCATGACCCCGCCCCCGTAACAGTGATCTATTATGCTACTCAATAGGTGTGATTTTGATTGACTGTTGTCACTTCTGTTTGTCGCAGCGACCGAACCTGAAAAGTTGTATATTAGATAAAAAAAATAATAAAAAGGTTCTAGTTGCTGTTTACATCGAAACCGTCCAAGCCCAGAAGTTTCTCCTCGTGTTCATAAAACTGCGTCGCACAAAAAAGAATCCTTTCAAACCGGAAACGCATCGTGTGTTTGAGAGAGAATGATGTTTGTTTACTTTAGATGTCAGCATCTTCCTGCTCTTAGTCTGAACTCACTATTTAAACTGGCCAATCAGAACCCTCCCTCAGCACCGACAGCCAATCAGAACCCTCC